GCCTCCTGGCAAGACAAGAGCAAGTCTGCACGTTCCTCTGACTTGGCACATGGACAATCCATCATGCTCACACAGCCTGCTTAGAAGAGCCCAAGTGCTCCGTCCTGCTGCTCAGGAAGGAGTGATAGATATCTTCATTAAAAACAATCACAGAGGGACATCACAGGATTCTTAAAAACAAGCAAGTGATGGGAATTTTGCCCAAGGAAAGGAATTTTTGACCATGTTATTTTGTAGGTTTTATTTATTTGTTGTCTGTAAATGGATGGATTTTTGGGTTTAAAGTAGACTGTTAATTTTGAGAGTGAAGCACACCGGTATGTGCCAGTCATGAAATGGTTCTTGTTAATGATCTGGTTCATGCTTGGGAGTCAGAAAAAGATCTTTGGTTGCATGCAATCATAGGATCATGGAACGGTTTGCATTGAAAAGGACCTTAAAGACTGTCCAGTTCCACCCCCTGCCATGGGCAGGGACACCTTCCACTGTCCCAGGCTGCTCCAAGCCCCATCCAGCCTGGCCTTGGGCACTGCCAGGGATCCAGGGGCAGCCACAGCTGCTCTGGGCACCCTGTGCCAGGGCCTGCCCATCCTGCCAGGGAACAATTCCTTCCCAATATCCCATCCATCCCTGCCCTCTGGCAGTGGGAGCCATTCCCTGTGTCCTGTCCCTCCATCCCTTGTCCCCAGTCCCTCTCCAGCTCTCCTGGAGCCCCTTTAGGCCCTGGCAGGGCTCTGAGCTCTCCCTGGATATTCTCCTCTCAAGGGGAGCACCCCCAGCTCTGCCAGCCTGGCCCAGAGCAGAGGGGCTCCAGCCCCCACAGAGTATCTCTGTGAGCTCCTCTGGATTCGCTGCAGCAGATCCATGTCATTCCTGGGTTGGGACTCCAGGGCTGGAGCAGCTCTGCAGGTGGGGTCTCACCTGAGGGGCAGAATCCCCCTGCCCCTGCTGCCCAGTCCAGCCAGGGGGGTCTGGGGGCACATGGCCGGGGCATGTCCAGCTCTCAGCCAGCAGCACCCCCAAACCCTTCTCTTCTTTTCAGCTGTTTTACAATGCCAAAGGGCAACAACGGGATCTTAATGTGACAGTGGCACGGGTGTGCAGAGCCCAGCTTAAATGTTCCTTACAGTCTGGAGAGAGAGGAATCTTCCTGATCGTCTCACATTGTCTCCAGGATCCCACCTCTTACAAGGTCCTGTAGCCCCTTTTCAGACCACATTTGTACTCCTGGGCTCTCAGCAGCACATCCTGTTGCCTCCTTGCTGTGTCCACCCTTGGGATGCTTGCTGTGGAGGGTGGGTTTCCAGCTGGAGGATGTCTGCTCAGGGGGATGATACTGATGCAGGTCCAGTCTCCCCAGTGGCAGTCATGCTGGGGTGCAGGATGACTCAGCAGGCTGTGGCACATGTGCCCAGCATCGCTGTCACAGCACAGATGTTGGTCAGAGAGGGGACAGTTGTTATTGTCAAAATGCAAATGAGTAAAATTACTGTTTTGAGAGAGATTTTTTAGGGGAAGGACATGCAAATTTACCTTCCATTCTGAGTGTTCATTAATATAAAAATGCAATGTTTGAAAGCCAAAACAAAGGAACATTTTAATTTGGGACTCATCAGATGGTTCCTTCTGCTTGGATTAGCATCATATACTTTGCATCAAATGCTCTAATTTTGAAAAAGCTCTGGTTTTCAAAGAAAACAAAAAGATGTTCTAAAAATGCCAGCCATTTCCAGGGATTCTGGCTGCTGCCAGCTGTCCTTAAGTGACTGGTCTGGTGCTGGACACTGGACGGGCCAGTGGGAATAGGCTTTGTGGGGTTCAAATAGGACATGTGGTTGGGTTCCTTCCTGGATGCTGCTTCAATTTGGCTTTTAAATAGCTTAGAAAAGTTTGGATGTTAAAGATTTCTCCACTGGAAGAAACAGAAGGGTGCTCAGGCATTGGAAGAGGCTGCCCCAGGGCAGGGGTGGAATCACTGTCCCAGAAGGATTCAAAAATTGTGTGGATACGTCACCTGGGGACATGGCTCAGTGGTTACCTTGGCATTGGTTGGATTGCATGATCTGAGAGGACTTTTCCAACCTTAACAATTCCATGAAAAGCTGGGCTGGGGTTCTGCTCTGAGGCACAGGAGCCCAGAGGTCTGGTGGGACCCCGAGCTCACCTGGAGGGTGCAGCCAGCCCTCACCATCGTGGGGAAGGAGCGGGCGCGGGGTCAGGAGCTGCTCGCAGGTGACTGCCGAAGGCTGTGCTGAAGGGATGGGTTGTGTTTCTCTCCTTTCTTTCCATATAAACACCCTCCAAATAAAACTTGCCTGTCCACAGCACTCGGAAGCAGCTGTGCTGCTTATTTAAACACACTGTGAGGTATCTCCGTCCTGCTCCCCCTGCTTTCTTTCTCCTTCTTCCTTGGAATACCAGCCTGCCTCGTGTTGCAGACCAGAAATAGAGACTGGCCACTGACTTGCTAATTGTAATGCAGCCTGATAATGCCAGCTATAATTAGATCAAGGTATCCAAGTCCTTTTGCTGGCAGACGTTTCTGTGACCTTGTTAGCATACTTTAAATAGAGAATCCTGTCTGCTCTGCCTGGCTTCTGGCTGCAGAGCCAGGACCTGCAGAGTCCAGCTTGGTCCTTTCTAGGGAATCCAGCCTAGCATCAGTCCTGGTGCCTGCATCTGCTCAGCTTGTGAAGAGTCAGGCTTGGCACAGCAGCACTCACTGAAAGGCTTTAAGCACTGATTATGGCCCCCAAGATCTGCAAATGTCAGTGACCACTGAGACTTTTGTTGTTATAAAAATCCCTTCGCTAACTACCCAGTGACCACAGCTGTGTTGGGCCAATGAAAGGGGCTGCCCTGGGCTGTGGTTTTCAGGGGGTTGCACTTTGACTCATCTTTTCTTTACTGTTTTAGGGTAATCAAAACAATGGCTTCTGTTGAGGTGAGCTGTGTCAGGGGGAGGAATGGTTCAGGGTCTGGGATCAACTTGTCTGGAGCTGCAGCCTCATATCCCAGGGCTGTCAGACATCTCTTCTTGTTCCCTTTTGATGAGCCCCCTACATTCATTCTTTACCCTCTCATGCAAGTTCTGTCATCTGCAGCATCCCCGGGGCCCCTCTCCCTGGCCTTGGGAAGCCTCAGGCTGCTGCCCAGCTGTCCTGCCCTTGAGCACCCTCCTCACTGGGTCAGAACAGGCATCCCCAGCTCTGTCCCACCAGACAGGGTGGCTTGGGTATGCAGCTGTGTCCTCAGCAGGTGGGTGAGCCAGGGCCCTCACAGAGCTCATGCCCTCAGCACTGCATGAGCCTTTGTCTCCTCTGCAGCACCACCCAACCTGAACATCAGATCCCCAGCCCTCTGGGATAACTCATGGAAAAGTTTGGTTAAGTGGATATGCCTGAATTCATCACTTGCTCTCAGTATGGCTGCTCACAGTTGCTCTGACATTCTGTCTGATCTGTCCTGAGCTTGTCAGGGAGGGAACTGAGACCCCCGTGAACACCAGAGTGCCCTAGGGGGGAGAGGTTTCCTAATGTCATATCCTGCAGGCAGGCCTGGGGCTGTCATAGCAGCAGAGCTCACCAGCTAATCATGGCTGAGTCAGCCTGAGAAGTGGGACACTGAAATCCCAAAGGAAAACCAGGGACTTGGAGGATCTGGATAAGCCAATGCCCATCCTTTGGGCAAACCTCCTGAGATGCTCTGCTGCCTTGCTAGCCCAGCTGAGCTCCTGTGCCATTCCATGGGGAAGACACCTCACTGCTGTGTTCTGGCAGGACATCATCCTAGACTGCCATTTCATAGAATCCTAGAAATCATGGAATGGTTTGGGATGGAGGGGACCTTCATGATAATCTTGTTCCAACTCTCTTCCATGGGCAGGGACACCTCCCAGTATCCCAGACTGCTCCAAGCCCCATCCAGCCTGACCTTGGACACTTCCAGGGATCCAGCGACAGCCACAGCTTCTGTGGGCACCCTGTGTAGGGTCTCACCACACTATAAGCAAAGAATTTCTTCCAAAACATCTACTCTAAATCTTCCCTCTTTTACTTCAAAATAGTTTCTCCTTGTCCTATCACTGTAAAAAGTACCCAAGTAAAAGGGCATGCTGCCTCTTTTTCAGTCCTGGGCAGTAGCTGGGGAGTGGGGGTTGAGCTTCCAGAGATGCAGCAGGAGAGCAGAGTGCCATACAGACAAGGGAGTTCATCAGCAGAAGCCCTGGGTGGGTGACCCTGGCAGGCAGCACTGGTCATGTGCAATCAGCATCTGTCCCCAAGCTAAGGAAACACATGGGGGTTCTCAGGCAGGATCCTCAGCACTTCCCAGCTCACTGGGAGTTAAGGTTTGGGCTTGAGAGGTCCTTGTGGGCAGTGTTCTGTGTCGGTCCCCAAAGAGTGATGGAAGAGCTCAGTCCATGGTTTGTGTGCCCCAGTCATGGGCGCTTCTCACAGATTTGGGAGATTGAGGAGAAGGAATGTCAGCAGAGTGGAATATGTGCCTGCCTGCAGCTCACCAGACTGCCTGCATGGTCACCCATGAGTCCATGAAGGTTGGAGACCGGTGGGCCAAAACACTTTCCCAAGTGCTGAGGGCAGGGGCAGGACAGCCTGGCAGCATGGGGAGTCTTGAGGCTTCCTCCTCCAAAGCTCACCTACAGACCCAAGAGGTTTTGGTGGGACTCAGAGTAGTTTTCAGCATCCCTACCTCTGTTTTCTCTCCTTTTCAATGGGAACAGATAGTGAGGCAGGGCCATGCAGGGTGAGAGGGGCTCATGGGGGTGCCAGCAGGATTTGTGGACATGTAATTGCACCAGGGGTGTCACAGCAAACCCCAAGCAAGTGGAGGTGAGGCTTCGCTGCCTTCTGCCTGGTAGTCCCTCCACAGCTGAGCCTGGTACTCCTCACCTGAGCCTGATCCCGCTCACCTGAGCCTGGTTGTCTTTGGCTGGGCCCTGTGTCCCTCGTCCCAGCCCGGGACCCCCATCTGAGCCCGCACAGGCTCCTGGTTATGTAAAGCCACGGCGAGCGCAACCAGGAGATTCTTCAGTGTCGGAATCTGAGTCACATGGGGCTGTTTTATTTCCCCCTCTGCTAATCTCGTTTCTATAGAAACAAGATTGGGAGGAAAAAAAAATAAAAGAAAAAAGGAGGCAAGCACAGAGCAAATGAGAAACCTGAGGTGATGGGTGAGGGAAGCGGAGGTGGCAGCTGAGGAGGTCGGGCGACGCGGATGGGAGCAGGGACCCCGCTCAGGATGGGAGTGTGCATAGAGGGGACAGGGACTCTCCTGAAGAGACGCCCTGGCATGAGCTGCTGCTCTGGCAGCGGGTGAGCCGAGCACCAGGAGCAAAGGGAGCAGAGGCTGCGCAGGTGAGTGAGCATCGCTTGCGTGGCTCGCGGGCATCTGTCCCTGTCCCTGCAGGGCACAGCTGGGCACGGCTCACTGGGGTCCTGGCCCTGGCTGCTGCTTTGGAGACACTCTCATGACTGGGACCGTGGTCAGTGGGAAGCATGCCACCGGTGAGTGGGGCTTGCCAGAGCAGCGTGCGCAGCCAGCACTTGCCTAGAGGCTGACTGTGTGTTCCTGGCCACGAGGGTTTCCAAACCCTCTCTCTCCCAAAAGACTGCTCCCTGCTTGGGAAGAGCCTTTCCAGCTTTGGTTATTTTCCTTCTATTTTATCCTGACTGTACCTGTGCAAATAAGCTACTGACAGCAGCCAAGCCCCACAGCGCAGGGAGTGCAGGGCTGCGTGCTCGCAGCACTGCTCACCCCGGGCTCAGCCACCTTCCCCAGACCGGCTGCAGCGGCGCCGGGGGAGAAGCCCAGCTCGGAGCTGTTTGTGCAGGGGCTGCTCCCCAAGGAGGGAGGACCAGCTGAAACACTGCTTGTTTGACTGGGCTGCCGGCAGCCCACGGCTCATCCCAGGACTGTTGCCAGTGCTGATGGAAGAGGCTGGGAGCTGCCTGCCCACATCTGGGTTAGTTCAGAGCCACAGGCACGTGCTGGCTCCTGAGTCTCAGGCTAAGGAGTGTGCAACAAGTGGGAGCTTTTCCTGCCTGGATGTTCTGTCTTGTGGGATGGATGGCTGGTATGCATGTGGTGGTGAGGGCTTTGGCTGGGTGCGCGGTGGAGCAGAGGTGTTGCTGGTGCTGGTCATCCTGTGCCAGTGGCTGGCTCACTCGGTGCAGCTGTGCCTGCATGGCCCCTGGTGTCCCTGCAGCTCCAGCCATGGCACAGTGCTGCTGTGCCAGCAAGCGCTGAGGCACCCGGGCTCCTGCGGGCACACGCTCACCCCGGCGGCTGCAAGCTGCCAAAAGGCTTTTAGCAGATCACCACAGGGGAGGGAGGGATGTGGAGCTGAGGGATCAGGATTTTGCTTGTCATCACTTCCCAGTTGTGGTGTGGGGAATGCGGTGGTGATTACGAACCCCCGGCCGGATCCACGCCTGTGTGTGGCGGGTGAAGCTGGAGGATGGATCCAGTGCCCGAGTATTTCTGTTCTGAGCTTTGGGAAATGTCACTGCTCATCCGCCTGCCTGGCCAGCGAGGGGGTGGAGGACAGCACTTCAGTCCCTTGTCCTCATCCCAGGGCAGCTGAGGGATTTGTGTGCCGGGGTGCCGTGTCCGGTGCCAGCTCAGCAAGCTGCTGGAGGCACAGGCAGGATGGGGACAGGCTGCCAGCCCTCTGTGTCTGTGTTCTGCCTGCCTTCCCACTGTCTGGGCAGGCTGAGGGCTTTGGCAGTCACCCCTGTGGGGTCGGGCTCCCACAAAACCTGTGGGGTGAAGAGATGGGTACAGGCTCACGTCACACAGCACACTGGGGCACTGGGAGCTGTGCCCTGTGCTTAGCTGGACTCTTCTCCTTTGGTCAGGCTGGTGTCCAGCTGCTGCTCTGGGCACTCTGCTCATCCTGGTTGGACACTCCCGGGCTCTCAGCCCTCACCAGGCTGGGGACAGCACTGCTCCTGTCTCCCTTTAGCAGCAGCCTCTGCCCGGCCCTGCCAGCTCTGTTCAGGGTGCTGGGTGCCATGGCTGATGCCAGGGGGGAGTTTGCCCCTCCCTGTGCCTGAAGCAGTGGGCTTAGGGGGGACGTGTCGCGTGGAGACTGTGCATCGCTGTGCCAACAGTGGTCCTGCCCTCTGGGAATGCCAGCTCTCTTCTGTCCAGAGCTTTGGAGAGAAGGGCTGAGGACAGATATTGCTGCAAGAGCCTTCAGCACTGATAATTATTTCTGGGAAAAGATGCAGTGTTCTGACTTAAATGCTGACATGGGACTCTGAACACGTGTAATCTGGTTGACAGATGGCAAAGTCATAGAGGTGTGATTTATGATACAGCACAGTAGCTGAACAACCTTCTCTGGTTGTTAGGAGACAATTCTTCCCGGTGCTGCGGTTGACGCTCCAGTTGATGGCTTTTCCCACGTGTCCCCTTGGGGTGTGGGGACTGCCTCGGAGGTGCCAGCTGTGTCTGCCGTGTCAGCCCTGCTGCTCCAGTGCTGAGCTGCTGCAAGGTGCTGCCTCTGAGCGAGCGCTGGGCAGGTGAGCCCGGACCTTGCCTGGATGAGCCCCGAGCAGCGCTGTGCAGGGCTGGGGCAGCAGTGCTGGCCTTGTCCCCATCCCATGGCTGGAATGAAGCTGGCTCAGGCTGACAGTGGCACCTGGGGCTGCCTGTTCCCCAAACCAGCACTCGTGGGCTCGAGTGTGTAGTCCTGATGGGGAAGGCACGGAAATCTTGCCCATCAGATAAGCGCACAAGGGGAAGGATGCTGACAACCACAGGTAGTCTGTCTTACCTGCATGTCCTCTCCCTGCCTCAGTGTTCTTGCTTCTACCATAAGATTCCTAACACTTATCCTTATTAAGGGACAGGGACATCTATTTAATGTTTGGAAAGCGCTTGAGAAGTAACGCTGGGGTCTCCACAGCATCTCCCTCTCTGTGCTGGAGGCTCACCCCCACTGCCACCCACAGAGCCCAGACCTGGCACAGTCCCCAGTGCTGTGGGAGCATCCCAGCCCTGGGCACACCATCCTGGCCCTGGGAGCACTCTGACCCCAGGGGACCGGGGCAGCTCAGCACAGGAGCTGGGAGGAGCTGACCCACCAGCAGGGCCTTGGCAGAGCAGGTATGATTCATTCCCCTTCTGCAGCACGGTTTATGTAAAGCAGCTCTGTATAAATCGCCAGATGATCTGTAATGTGCTCCTGGCTTCTAATTAGTGATGCTTCTGCTGAAGCGTTGGGGTCTGGCAGAGGGGAGGGAGGCTGGTTCATGGCTGGATGAGTTGCTGACAGCTCCCAGTGGGGAGGTGTTGGGCTGTCAGAGCTGTCACAACCATTCCTTTACCTGTGTTGTAGCAGCTGGAGGTGGTGGCCAGCAAATCTGGGGGGTGAAATCAGCACCCCAAGGTTCTTGGTCAGCTTCTGACTTGTACATGGACTAGCTTGTCTGTCCTTCAACAGGCAGATCTGGGCAGCACCTGCCCTGGGCTGGAGAGCATCCATTCCCTGTCTCCCTGTGCCTTCCCCTTGATGCCATGACTGGGGACTCACTGCAATGCCACATGTTCCTGAACACCGAGGGGGCTTCTCCAGCCCCACCAGCCCACCCTTCCCCCAGGATTAACTGTCCTTCATCCCTAACACTGATGACCTGTGGCACATTGCTCTGTTTTTGCCCACCAGCTCTTCTTGACAGATGCTGTTGGTTTTATCCAATCTGAGCCATGCAGTGGCTGCTCCTGCTGTGCTTGGGCAGGTGGATTCATCCAGGTAAAGCTCCTGGGTGTGGAGTTGTTCCCGTGGTAGTTGCTGCAAGGGCCATGTACAAGCACCACAAAGGCACTTGTGACAGGGGCTGCTGCCTTCTTGCATCTGTTCAGGGTATTTGGGAGTTCCCAGATATCTGGGATTTCCCAACACCTCATCCTTGCTGAGGACCAGTTTGGAGGGGTGGCTGTAATGGTGCAGGGAGTGTGGTGGAGGTTGGGTCAGCACAGCAGACAGGGCAGGATTCTGCAGGCAGATCCCAGATCTCAGGAGATTAACACTGCCAGCATCCTTTCAGCTGGGGCTGGAGCCCTCATCCCTGCAGGGTGGCACGAGCTCCTCCTGGGCAGGTGGGAAGGGGCAGGAACAGCCAAATTCCACTGAGGAGGTGCTGTAGGGAACCAGCAGCACTTGTTCCCACTGCCCAGCCCCATTCCTGGGTCAGCCCTGCTCATCCTGGTATCCACACCGTGCCTGGGGCTGCTGCAGAGCGTTGGCTGTCAGTGCCCACCTCTCACTCCTCCCTAAATGGGATCTTCTTCATTCCAGCTGAGCTTTGACACCAGATCAAAGTAGAGTTAGGTGGTGGGGATGGTGTTGGTGCTGGGCTCTGCTCTATGAGCACCAGGATCACTGCTCTTCATTGCCTCTTTCTCTGGCTATGAGCGGGGGAAAGTTAGGGTTTGGGTTTCTTGTTGGGTTTCTTTTAAGGCAAACCTCATTCTTTACATCAAAGTAGGATTTTTTGTCAAGAATGTAAAGAATTGCCCTGGAAGGTCTGAACAGCTCTTTGCCGGCGGGGACTGGAGAGACAAGAGCCCTCTCCAGAAAGCTGTCTCCACCCGATCTCCGGCAACAGCAATTCATAAGCTGAAAAATAAATCAGTAACCAGTTAATGAATTGAAGATGTCTGTGTTTAAAATGTATCAGGGAAAAAACTGTTAGCTGGTCGGGGCTGGCCTAATTACTGTGAGGAAAGGCAGGGAGCTCTCAGTTCAGAGAAATAGCTTCTCTTTTTCTCTTTCTTTGGAGGTTATTTTGTTTGGTTGGAGGAGAGAGAGAGGGAGAGGGAGAGGGAGAGGGAGAGGGAGAGGGAGAGGGAGAGGAGAGGAGAGGAGAGGAGAGGAGAGGAGAGGAGAGGATTTGCTTTAGCAGTGTGTGTAGCTTCAACTCTGTCCTTCATCCCCTGGGACCTCTGCCAAATCTCTCCTGTCCCTTTCCCTGCCCAGCCCGGGGCTGCCCGAGTGGTGGGAACAGGTTGTGCTGGCACATTACAGGAGGACAGGAGGCAGTGGCTGTGCCGGTGTGTGGCAGGGCTGGCACACAGCCCCAGTGCCTGGTCGTGTGCCCAAGTCTGGGTGTCTCAGCTCCCCAGACGTGTCCTGCCTTGCTCCCGCGTTGGCAGCAGGGACAGGCTGTGCTGCTGTGTCCAGCCCGGGCTGGGGGTGCCACCCTTAGCACGGGGGGCTCTGGGGGCTCCGTGTGCCAGAGGGAGCAGAGGGCTGAGGGTCTCTGCGGGGCAGGCGCCTCCTCAGCCCGTCTCAGCCGGTGAGCCACTGGGCTTGGAGGCAGGGCAGGTGTGCCGTGTGCCAGCCACTCTCCCTGGACAGGGCTGGGTTCCATTGGAATGTGCAGCACGTTGGAACCTGCTGATGTGCTTTTCCCAGGCCCCAGGGGCTGGAGCACCCACCTGGTGGGAAGGGGCTTTGTCAGCACAGATGGGTCCTTCAGTGGAATCCATTTCCCCCACACATTTCTCTTTCTGTCTCCAAAACCTCTCCGATGTGGGCTGATTTCCATGTCAGTCCTCCTCAGGGAAGCTGTTCTGGTGCTTGGGAGGCGACAGGGGCTCCAGGGTCTCTCTGAAGGAGCGTGTGGCCTTTGATTCAGTCTGCATTGGTTCTCTCCATTTCCATGCCCCTGGCTGTCGCCTGTTGGAGTTTCGGGAGGAATGCACAGCCTGGGGAGGTGATTTTGCTGCACAGGGAGCAGGACCTGGCTCTCTCAGCCTGCCAGACTGCAGCTCCAGTTTGGCTAACATGGACCAGTGCTGGTCCTGGCCTGCTGAGCAATACCAAACTTGCTGCTGCTCCTCCACTTCCCACCCGCAGGGCTGGTGCCTCTGCCCGCTGGGAGCCCCCTCCTTTCAGCACTGAGCAGGTCCTGACGCTGTGCCCCAGCTGTGCCCCGGGCCAGGGCTGCGGTGCCATTAACACCTTTCCTCTCCCCTCCCCAGGTCGGAGAGCAGCCTCGCTAGGTTTGCCCACCGCTTGTCGGTGAAGCAGAAGCAGGAGAAGAGAAGGAAAGCTGAGTATGGCTCGGCCGAGCTGTCTGCCTTCCGGCCCAGGTCTCTGAGCATTGAATGGTAAGAGCTGCAGGACAGGACTGAGGGAAGAAGCTTCTGCCTCTCCAGTCGCCCTCCTGTCCCCCTTTCCCGCTGCTGCCTTGGTTGAAGCGATGTCCTATGGGACAGCAACCCATGGACACACAAACCCCTCCACCTGCTGCAGAGGCTCCCCCAAGGTATCAAACGAGAACCATCCCGCAGCTGAAGATCTGCCAGGGCTCGTGTGGGTAATGGCATTGTCTGCTGAGCTGGGGCACATGAGCACACAGCCTCTGACAACCCCCACCACTGCCCCCTTCCCTTCCCTTCCCTTCCCTTCCCTTCCCTTCCCTTCCCTTCCCTTCCCTTCCCTTCCCTTCCCTTCCCTTCCCGGGCTGTGCCAGCCCTGCAGGGCAGCCCCAGGGCCCAGAGGGTGCAGTGCTCCCTCCTGCTGCACTGCCTGGGACCCCTGGTGTGAGCACAGGTCTCAGAGAGCTGTCCCCACTCAGGCAGGGAATCATTCATCCTGGGCTTCTGAGCTCTGATGAAACAGTCTTGGAAGCAGATCACAGCCAGCCATCCCAGCATTGGAGGTGACCTGCTAAGGATATTTAAAAGAGCTGGAAATTGCATTGCTTTCTGCTTCCTTAGATGGATAAAGGAGGGTAAAACTTAAAAAAAAAAATACCCAAGAAAAAGAAAAATGAAAAATGCTTAGAAATTGCAAGAATGTTGAATTTGGTTTTCCATTTCCCTGCTTTTTTTGGAGATCTTTCTGGCATTTATTGTGTGTTCTAACACTTCAGTGTGAGGGTGTGGAACCCTCCTCAAAGGCTTCCTTTATCTGTGAGGTTCCTTTAGCATCAAAGCTCACCAGGTATTAATGAATCAAAGAATTCAGGATATTTGGGGACAGACTACTTTCTTCTCCACTTACACAACTTTCTTCACTTTGCTAAGAGGATGTCATGAGAAAACCTGGTCTGCAATTACTCTCAATCTCCCAAAGAGACAAATATGTGAATTTGTAATGTAGCAAATAGGGAAACAACAAAGAGCTCATTAAAAACAATCAGTTTGTCTTTATTCAGAACAAAGAAGCACGAGAAGCCAGCCAATCTCTTTCCTCTCTAAATGTGTCTTTGAAGCCCCTGGGTCCCAGTTTAGCCCTGTCGGGGGATATTTGTGGTACATTTTCCCCCACTCCCTAGTGTTTTCCTGGGGGAAGCCATCTGTCTTGCATTTGGCAAACCACCTTGTGCAGCAAGGACTCGCAGCAGTGGTAGACGATGCTCTTTTAGAGGGATTCTGTGAAGCAGCCTGGGAAGGAGCTCTGGTGAGGAGGGGCTGCCTGTGCCTTTGGTTTGCCATGTGCCATCATGCTGCAGCTCGGGGCTGCGAGGCCTTGATGTCCCCATTCTGCAGGGACACAGGCACAGCCAGGCAGGACTCTCACCCTGTACAGGGCTTTTATCCATGCCTTGGAGACATCTTGGGCTGGATCAGACATCATCCTAGCAGCCAGGATCAGGTGGGTCAGGCTGCTGGAGCTCAGGGGCTGGCAGGACACAGAGGAGGGGTCACCCCAGAGGGTCGCAATGATGAAGGGTGGCAGTGGGATGAGGACCCTGCCCCCTGCCTGCTCCCCTGCTCTCGTCCATCTCAGGTGCACAGGTCCTCAGAGAGGCATTTGGAGATTTTTCCAGCTTTCTCTGCAGCCATGACCTGCTAAGGGATATCTTGGCCTTTTTCTTGGTGTGAAACAACTTTTCTCTGTGTTTCCTGTACATCACCAGGGATCTCTGCCCATCACAGCAGGATCAGCACCCTCAGTTAGCCACTTCAAACAATCCTGGGCTGCAGGTGAGGCTGCTCCTCGGTGCTCTGGCTGATGGGAAACTTGGCTCATATCTTGGCAAATCTACATATGCCTAATTTGTCTTTCAGAGCAAATAACTACCTGCATCAAATCTGTCTGTATTTACAACCCAGGGTTACCACTGCATCTTTTCACCTGCCTCTGCACAGAGGTGAACACCCATACTGTGTGTGATGGGTTCAGCTCATCCCTCATGGGTAGGAATGGCATGGAAAAGCAATGGACCATGTTTTCCCAAATCAGCAGCTTCTCAGAGTCCCACCCATCTTGACCCCAAGGCTTGAAGGCAAAGGACAGCTTCTCAACCTGCTGTCTCCTGTTGCCAAGGAGGAGGTAGAAAAGCATGACATCATCTGTGCTCTTTGCTTTGAAAAGCTGGGTGTCAGTCTAGGGAAGGGATTTAAGTTTGCTGCTTGAAATTCCTACCAAAGCATTGTCAGTACAACCCATCCCCACACAGGGCAAGCTGAGCCAATTTTACAGTGTTCCAAATTACTCAGATGCTCAGGTAGGGGTGGATGGAGCTGAGGTAGAAGAGAAGGAGCTGCACGGAGCCTAACACTGTTCCTGCACTGAGCACAGCCAGGTAGGACAGGGCACAGATGTCTTCACCTCCACTTGGCCCATCCCCAGTGAGCCCTGGGCCAGGAGGTGCAGTTCCTTGCTGCCACAGTGAGTGAGGGGCTGGATGTCCCGTGCTGCTGCCAAGCCCAGGGATGCTCCCAAGGCGGGTCTCCCGGAGCGTGTGTCCATCAGAGCACATCTCCCTGGCTCAGTGGCCACGCTGATGGGCCGTGCTCCCCCAGGCACAAGGCAGCTCTGCTCCCGTGGCACATGCTCCTGTGCTGCACCAGGCCAGCAGAGCACAGCCCTGCTCTCCAGCCCGGCCAGCAGCAAGCAAAGCCCTGTTAGTTCCACTTATTAAAAACAAAATTGCTAGGGGGAAGGGAGAGAAGGCAGAGAAAAAGTGAAGTATTGAGAAAACACTTCTTTCATTCATACGTTGTTTGCTGAAATAAATACTTCATTATTAGGCCTTTTTTAGGGTATTTTTTTTAAAGCCAGTGCCACAAAGTCCCCAGTGTTCGGGCCTGTGAATATGCTGGATCACCTCAGCCCATGGCTCCCTGTGCCGGTGTCCTGCTGCTCAGAGGTGCTGGAGCCGAGCTTTCCCAGTCTTTGGGAGAAACCTGGGGGCTGCATATGTCTGGTTTTGCCCAGGTTTGCTGATTTCCTTTTCCTCTTTGCTGGATGTTGTGTGCTGGGTCACCAAGGCAGCTTATGCTCCAAATGAGGCAAAAGTAACTTAGGCAAGGGAGGATTTGGGATTTTGTTTATTGAAGCTCTGCTTTCTGTGGTCTCTGGTCCTAATCTAGCTCCCAAGCCTAAACAGCACAAGGCTACTAAAGCACACTTGACTTGAAGCCCACCACATTCTGCTGTTGGGGCGAAGAAGGTGAAAGCTGGTGATTCCCATGGAGGCCTCACACTGTCCTATAGCAATGCCAAAACTCCAAGAATCCCTGTTCTCCCCACTTAGAGTGAGTAGAGGCCTTCTCTCCTCCAGTGCTTGTTACCTGACTTATGGTCCACATTTATCTTCCCTCTTAAGTGAGGCTTAATCCAATGGAAGGGCTGCGATCCCTTGTTTACTCTTGTGTGAGCAGAGCTGGGAGCCTCTGTTCCCTCTCGCATCCTCTCAGCTCCATTGCTCACTGGGAGTTTCAGCTGGTTTGTCCTTCTGAAATCCTTTTGTCCCTTCCTTTTTTGTTCTAGCTCTAGCTCTGGTTTTCCTTCTTCTGTTTGTTCCTGGGTTTACTTTCCCCCAACACTCCTTTTCCCATACTCGCCACTTGTTCACACTGTTCACACTTGTTCCCTCTGTTTTCTTCTTCATTGCTTATTTACTGCTTTTTCTCTCCAGGCTCCTCGCATTCTCCCTGTCAGACAGCCTCCCTGTGATCCGTGGTTGGAATAGCCTATTCCCGTGGTGCCAGGAAAAATGCAGCACATTCCTGTCTCCCCCCATGCGTTATCTGGGTTCTGCTCCTTGGCTGCCCACTCCGAGGCTGAGCCGTGCTGGCAGCAGCGTGTCGGTTCTTGGTGACAGGCTCAGCCCTGCCTGCAGCTCGTGTTCCTGCCTGACCCTTGGCTTGGCGCTGCCTCCCAGCTCCTCGCTGCCAGAATGGGATGCTCAGGGAGCTGCCTGCCCAGTGGCCACCGAGCAGACCACACAGGCCTGGGTGGAAGGTGCCAAGTGAGCGGGAGACACCAGACATGGGAACCTCGCTGGCACCATCTGAGTGGTGGAGGTGGCACATGACTGCTGCTGCACTCTGCCTTGTGCTTCGGGTTTGGTTGTAAAGAAGTTTATTAAGGGAACTGTTTTCATGGAAGTTATTTAAAGTGTAATGTTTTGCCTCTGAGTGGTCTCGAGTGCTGCAGAGGTTCTCCCTGTATGGCTGGGTATGGAATCCCTGCTGTGGAAGTGCCTCCAGCATTGGTGCTGTTGTTGCTGTGGGCAAGCAGCCAGGTGACTTGTCCCCATCCACAGGGTCCTCTCCTCCTGGCACCCAGTGCCATGGGCCTGGTGGAGCTGCAGGGCTTGGAGGAAGTGCTGAGCTGCAGACTGATCCATCCCATCATTCCTGATCCAGCGCATGGGAGTGCTGCTCTTGCACAGCTCCCTGAGAGCCTGGTGCTGTTCCCACAGCTGTCCACAGTCATCTGGGTCTGTCCCCAGGACTCTCTGTGTGACATTTGTCCCTTTGCCAAGTCAGCCAGCACAAATTGAGTTGTCATCAACTTTTTGGGAGGCAAAGAGTAGCAGCACCATGAAGATGGTGGGCTCTGAGTTCCTCCTGGTTTCACAGCCCTACTCGAGCAGTTACACTCCAGAAAAGTCTTGGAGCTCTTTCTTTTCCCAGGCCAGGAAGCTCTTAGCCTGAGTGAGGAAAAACAAGGGAAATGAGGCCCTGAGTCTTGCAGTGGAAGGGAAGGAATGTGAGAGCTTGGGAGCTGTGGGGGCATGTGGGAGCAAGGAGATGCTTTGGGTAGGCTGAGCTGTGGGCACCACGTTGGCAGCGCTTTCTGTGGGGGAGCCAACCTCGGAGAGGGTCACCACCCCCATCCCACAGTGCCAGCTGGCTCC